TATGTAGCCTGGCATGGTTTACATTTCTGTGCTGCGCGGATGGCATACCCTGGGGCTTATTTCAGCTTTACTGAAGGAGGAGTATACAACGATACATAATACATAGCGAGGCACCTGGCAATAGACAATCTAGGTCACGATGACTGCAATTGTTTGTGCTCGCCACGTGGATGTACGCCGACATCGATTTTGATGAAAGTATCCCAGTTTTTTGTTCGGCCAAAGCGGGCAATAGAAAGCCTCTACCGCTCATGGGCGATGAAGACTAATCCAACGCCGATGCAGCTGAAGCAATACTCATATGATTGCATAAGAATAATTATTTTCAAATCGATAGGATTAACTCATTCTTGCTGCAAACCTGACCAATACTGCAACCCCTGGAGAGATGAGTATCATGTCCCAGAAAACTATCAGTACAAGAAATCTAGACTTGAGGAAGCTTTGAACATGTTTGAAAAATGCTTTCGAGTGTACCGTGGCCCTATGGAGATGTTTCCGTTCCATTTATTGGATTTTCTATACAGCCACCCTTCACAGGGATCTCAAGATAATTACGGCATGGTGAATTGGGAGCAAAAGGATCAGTCATCAGAGATTAAGGATGCTGAAGCAGTCAGTCACTGAGCAAGAAGAGCTTATTGAGGAAGGAGAAGCTGCGGAAGAAGTAACAGACAACGAGGAGAGAATGACGGTTCGGGAAGAGGAAGACACTCATAACTACTAGTGTAAAGTATCTGTTTGAGAATATCTTAGGGGGAAGCTTGATGTTTTTTGTATCCAATTCATGATGTGTGTCAGAAAAGCTAAATACTTCGGATTTACTAGCAACTGCGGGAAGGTTTGTTATATCGAAATTATGTTCTGCTTGCTTAGTATAAGTGCGTAATGATTTGAGGTATATTCTGTAACAAGTCTGAGTTTGTCACATACGACCATAGACTGAAGAGAATTGGGCATCCCGTCCGCTCTGCCATACACAAGCTTCAGATCGGTGGATTAGTAGTTGGGTGGGTGACCACCAGCGAATCCCCACTGTTGTATGTTTCTGGATTTTTTGTCCACTTCTCTCTCGATGATCAAAGAAGCATCTCAGAAATATTTTTTGGCCACATCTCCGAATCCAGGCTGCGATGAGTGGATTGGCTCGATTGGCTCACAGATGAACTTGCTGTCGAAGCTCTGCATCAATTCTTTCTTTGCTTCATGATGAGTAATTGGGGTGATTGCTCCATCTTCGGAGTCCGGATGCTCGCTCTCAAGTCGAATCAATGACAATCCAAGCAGAATGCATCGTGTGCCTCTTACACAGAGCCTGCATCTTTGTAATCTGATTGGATAAGAACTGTCTTTTGAAAAGTACAGACAAATTCGAAAAGACAATCCACATCACTTAGTGCGGTGAAGTCGTGTCATCAATTTCTATAGTCGACATGCGTGGCCGCACACCAATGCAGCTTGGCAAGGATAATCATGAGCGGCTGTGTCACCAACGAACCGAGTGGGGAAATATACATGGCCGATGGATACACGTCTACCAACCGAGATCCTCAAATCAACCTGGGGCTAAATTTGCGAGACTCTCCCTGGTTATGTTTCAAATAGCATGCAAGGCAACTTGCTTGCTGGAAAATTGATAAGGAGAGGAGTTCGTACTGGACAACACTACGTACGCTAAAATCTACCGAGTATTCAGCTTGTAACCTTGTACGTTCTGAATAGCTTGGAGAGTTTGGATTTTGTCTGCCGTAGTTCGATGGCCTTCCTGGTTCGTTGTTAATTGTGATGATCAAAACGGTCATTGGGCCAAGTATTCCATGTAGGTCAAAATATATTATCGAGAACAGTTGGGTTAGAGAGGAGCAAGTACTTGTAAAATACGCCGATATATGAAGTCTTTCCTCCCCTGATATTTCCTCCCAGCTTGCTAATGTTGTCATTTTCCCTTCTGCTTTCAATAATCACATCTTTTTTCTCTTCTCGTTTTTCCATTCAGGCGCACTCATCATGAAGATGATAGAACTTCAAACATCAGCCTCTACGGCTTCAATTTCTCGCAGGACGAGGGATGAAAAAGTAGACAGAAATGGCGTTACTTGTTACGATGAAGAGATCACTAGGATCGTTGACTACACATATGACTATGAGATTACTTCTCCTTCAGCATGGACCCGTGCAACTTCAGCTTTACTTGATGCTATTGGAGCTGGTCTCGAAAGCATTGCCACAAGTACCGAACTTTCTCAACTGGTTGGACCTACCTTCCCCTCTCCAGATACCATTCCCAATGGATTTAAGTTACCCGGAACAAATTATCAGCTTGATATAGCGAAGGGTGCTTTTGATATGGGAGCTATGATCAGATACCTCAATCATAATGATGCCTTTTTAGGCGCTGAGTGGACGCATCCCTCTGGTATGATTACCAACACTTCTTTCCTCATCGTCCAATTGAAATATTGACAATATCTCACAGACAATCTCGGTGCTATCTTATCGACAGCCGATGTTCTCTCGCGCGTAGCCACTTCCAAAGACGATCAAGATTCAATCCTCACCATGCGTCATGTCCTCGTAGCCCTAATCAAGGCTTACGAAATTCAGGGCTGTTTTCAAGGCAAAAATGCCTTCAACAGAGCTGGTCTAGATGACGTTATCCTTGTCAAAGTAGCTTCCACAGCTGTCGTGTCCTGGCTCATGGGTCTTCCAAAAGAGCAAGCGAAAGCCGCTGTCTCCCACGCCTGGGTTGATGGTAACCCTCTTCGTGCATATCGTCAAGCACCCAATGTTGGCCCAAGAAAAAACTGGGCCGCGGGTGATGCATGTATGCGAGCTGTACAAATGGCACTTATGGCAAAGACCGGACAAGCAGGTGTGAAAACTGTTTTGAGCGCTCCGCGATGTGGATTCTACGATGTTCTCTTCAGAGGCAACACATTCGATCTGCCCCGACCGCTCGGTACCTCCGTGGTTGAGAACGTATTTTTCAAAATTTACACAACTGAAAGCCATGGCATGACTGCATTCGAAGCCGCCCTATTAATCTGCCAAGAGTTAAAAGACAAGGAAGTATCCACGAGCGATATAAAAAGTATCCAAGTTCGAACTCAGGAAGCAGCGATGGTTATTATGAATAAACAGGGAGCACTTCAAACACCTTCAGAACGTGATCATAGTCTTGGATACATGATTGCCCTTACTCTTCTCAAAAATTCTTTGCCCGAGACTGAAGATTACCAAAACACTAGTTCCTGGTCGAAAGATCCTCGGGTGGAAGAATTGAGAGGTAAAATCACCATCAAGGAGGATCCGGAATTTACAAAAGATTACCACAATCAAGATCTCCGCAGTCTAGCCAACGCAATCAAGGTTACTCTAAACGACGATACCGAATTAGAGGAGATAGTCATCCACTTCCCTCAAGGCCATGCCAGAAGGAAAGAAAGTTTAAAGCTGATAGAGAAGAAAGCAAGGAAGAATTTCGCATTGAAACTGAGTGAGGAGAGAATCGATACGATTATAGAAAAAACCAAAAGCATGGAGTTTTTTGGTATGTCGGTTTGTGAGTTTATGGATTTGTTTGTACCAAACAAGGAATGAGAAATTTCCGGTGGGGATTTGCTGAATGGTTATGTTTGGTTCATGGATCGGTTTCTTGGGATGGCGAGATGGCAATTGTATTTGGTTTCTGGGTTTGTGTAGATAGTATAGACAGGTTGTGCTGGCTATCCAATAGAATAATATGTTTTTCCCTCATGGTTTGTTTGAGAGCAAGGTGTGTGGTCAAGCTAGTGATGAGTGAATATAGTAATTACTACCCATGTGTAGCTAGACTATCACGTGTTTGTAGTCGAGAGTTGATAATTCCACACCCACGCGATTGCTCCTTACGTTTCAAGGTTGATGTTCTGGACAACATAAACCACACATCAAGCTAGATTCCCAAATATGATATCGATTCTCTGAATGACTTGGAAAATTTAAAGCATTTGATCTACAAATTCGGACCAGAACATCAATCATGATTTGGTGTGCAACTTATTTCGAGCTTCTACCATGTTCTTCAGCGGGGAAACAAAATTTGGGACAATTACCAGGTCATTCACATTGAGCTCCAAAAGAATATCATAATATGCGAAGCAGAAACAGCAGAAACAGCAATTTCTATATGAACCCGCGTGGATTTGACTTATAAATCATATCCACTTTATATTGGTAGAGCTAGATTGCTGTAATTCATGGCGAATTTTGCGGTCTCGGTAGAGAATGGTAGAAAAATTACCAAGGCGAGTGAGTGCACATAGATTTCACCAATTTGCCTCAGAAGTCTTGAGGCGAATCGATGACGAGCCAAACCTTGATGAGTTCGAGTAACTTGTCACTTGGATGTTCAAATCCCCGCCCCAGTGGGTCGCGACCTATGGCCAATGTACCGGATGGATCACTAGGTTACGGAGTGAGAATATACTTCTCGGAATGCTTTCAAGAATTTCTGAAATACTGAAAATTTCTTTAACGAATATGATCTGCTTATATGTCTCTTTATTTCTGCTTTCCATATAGCATGAGACAAGACAGACAAAAATATTGTTCACTTTGCCTCTTGGAACTTCCGGTCTATCGATAGGTGTCCTCCACCAGATCTAGCGAAGAACCTCGATATATGACCCGAAAGTCGACCATACCCAGTGAGAAAACTTCTCTTCTTCATGCTTGCCATTGCATGAAAATAGATTTCGATCCTGTCGGTAGATCGCTTCTTCCCTGATACATGTCATCGCAACAAAACTATAGCTAAGATCAAAATTTCCGCAATCTGTAGACCTATTTTTGGACCTGAATTGGGCAGAAATAATTCTCATATATCTGTATGATCATACTTGCCACTGCCTTACCGCCACATGACTCAATATTGTGGTATAATGAATATATGAAATTTTGATTCAGGTGTTTTGAAATACAAACATTGTCCATAAAGTGATTGCCAGTGTCTATATTAGCTTGGATAACTGCCTCACAATATTGATGAAGGGACTGGAACCGAAACGCAACTTCTTCTTATCGATCTTAATCAAACTTTGACAAACTTGAAGCGGAAAGTCCATTATCATAACAAAATGCCTTCTAGAGAAAGGAGACCGCGTCTTGATGGCTGGGGTGGGCTCACTTGGTATTATCTTCTCTGAGTAATTTGCTAATCGTCGGACATAGGAAGGTTCAAATTAGCATTTATCACATTTGCCTTATATGCTTTAGGATTTCCCATCTTACTATTTCATGGTAGGTTCTCTATACTCGCCATCAGAAGCATTCTAATGTGATTGTTCTAGTTCTGCTACTGATCGGCTGTGCAACCGACTCACCCGGTATGGACAACATCTACGTTGCCTCACTCTCCGACGAAGTCAGATTTTCCTACACTTGTAAGCTACCCACTCGGTCCCCTACTCGTAAACTACTAACAATCCGCAGCCCTCTGCGCCCCCACCACCACGGGCCGCACCTGCACCCTCTCTGTCGGAAAATCCCCCCTCATCCTCACCACTCTCTACAACTTCACTACTCCCCTTTCCACCCTCCAATACGCACTCGATCTCCAAACAAGCATATCCTTCGTCATCCCCGCCATGTCCGCGCTACTCTTCCTCTTCGCCCTCCTAACCCTCTTTTCCGCCCGTGGAATCATAAAAAGAAACGGAACTAACACTCCCTCCCACATCTTCACCATCACACTCCTCTTTTGGACTTCCGCAGCCGTAGCTTTCGCCGCTGCGTATTCGCTCACCTCATCCGGCGCAGCATTGGCTGTGCATCCCCCATCTTCCCTTTCCGTCTCAAACTCAAACTCAAGCGGAGAAAACACAGAGACGAACATCGAGCCTGGAAAAGTAATGTTAGCGCTTCAATGGATAACGTGGATTTTTAGCATCGTGGCTGCGATGATGAGCGGGAGTATTACGAAGACGATTTTGAACGGATCGTCGGGGGAGAGGAGGAGGAGAAATAGTAGAAGTGGGAGTCTGTATGCAAGAGGCCCGAGTATGGGAAGGGCTAATAGATCTTTAGTTCCGCCATATAGTAGAGATCCGTTGCCGAGATCGGGGAGCCCGGTTTCGCCTATTTGAAGGGGGAGGGGCGGCTGTTGAGATTGTTAGGATTTGTTTTGAATATGGGATGGGATAGGATGGTAGACTATGGTTGGTTAATCTTTCTTCGGGTATGGTTATTGTTCTGCGCGACTTTCTCATTTTTGCTATACAAGCGTTTCGTTGGTATTATTTAATAGATCATTAAAGGTTAGATATCCAGCATCAATACATGAACATTATAGTTGCAACAGTACAGATTGGTTCGTATTCGTACATGATAAATAATCAAAACAGAGAAATATAAATTCTTAGAGAAATAACAGCCATTCCATCGTCCTCACTCATTCTCGGATCCGTTTTTCGTCACCTATTTCCAAGTTTTTTTCTTAATACTCCCAGTCTTCGGCTTCAAAGGATCAAGCTGTCTGCCTCCTCTACCCCTACGACTCGAGCGCGATCTCATCCCGCCAAACTTATCACCCGCTGACTCACTCAACTTGTTCCTCCCCGGAGCCCAGTAATCATTCTCCGTAACCTTCAACATCGCATTCGGCTCTCTTCCCTGCTCCTTATCAATCTTCGCCCGAATCTGTTTTATCCCCAAATTCGGATCCTGTGTAAAATTCAAATAGGCCAGCGTTCCCAACGTCTGATCCAAATGATCTACTTCCCCATCCACAAACGTCGTCGCCCCAACCGCATCAACGTGTGTCCATGTCTCCACGATAGGCTTGCAGTTCTCAGGAAGCATGATGCGCATGGGACTGCGGTACCAGCGAGGAAAGTAGATAAACCCAAGCATAATCCTATTCTGATTTGACAGATTGGGCATACCGGCGTGCCAGAGGCGGAGATCACGGATGCCGATGGAACCTTTAGGCATAGTGGGTTGGAAGGGGGGAGAATATTCTGCACGACGATTGAAAGCTGATGATTTTACCCAGCCACGACCGTGGTCTACTAAATTTTTCAAATCATATTTGATATGAGAGCCGGGCCAGAGTTCGGTAGAGCCATTTGTGGGGGATACGTCGTGGAGATACATGAAAAGCTCGATGCAGGTGGGAAATGGGTGATGTTCGTAGTAAGTATCGACATGTACAGCCTGACGAGACTTTGGATCTGAAGCTGGGAGGTTGATATTACTTCCCGCATATGCTAGTTGTGGTTTCCCAAATACACCCTCCATTACTGCAGCAGCATGTTTGTTGGCCCATATATCTTCGGCGAGCCACTCTTTGGATAGAGGAGGACATATGGAGAAATTGGTCTTCTCGTTGCCATGATTGAAAAACACTGTCGGATCTTGCAACCTTTTAGCACCATCGGTATCCATCTTCTGGTAGAATTTATCGAGAATATCATGAGGAATGGCATTCTCAACTATGACAATTCCATTTGTATGAAATTGTTCTACTCCAGCTTGTATATTATCCAAACTGGTGATTCCCGATGCCAGTTCTTCGTCAGATAACATAACATGTTTGCAAGGAGCTGCTTTGGGTGGCATGTTGAAGGCTTTGTGATGTTTTGAGTGATTGTAAGATGGGTGATGTATAATTGAAATAACAACAGATCAATGGTGTTATATTCAACCCATTGCGGAATGTTATATATTTACTCGGGACTTGAGCATCGAACAAGGAAGCCTCAAGCATCAAAGAACATGCATAGAATAGCAGCGATGAATAACGGTCCCTACACCTCGCCATTTTATTCAAAGATAGAAGCGAAGTGCCAACAACAAAGAAACCAAGACCTGTAAGCATGGAGAATCTCTGATTCCGAATCAGGCCAGAAAGGAGACGAAGATACCGGAGAGTTATTGGTACCAAGCACTTGCCGACTTCTTTTTGGCGAAAATGAGACGGTTCTCACAAGTGTCTCGCGAGAGTCCAATCAACCGCAACAGTAAAGAATTTGTAAAGAAACCACTAATATACACTGTCTTACATCTTCCGAAATGTATGAAGCTTGAGACTCTCTCATTCTCGAACCATTAAGAGATACATCTGAACAGCCTCAGCACATATGCACAAATAACTGGGAGTCTTAGATCCTCAAAAAGTGTCAATCCTGATTGTAGCAGCATTAGATATTTCCAAGTGCCAAATGTTGACCAAAATTTAGTCTTTGCTTTGTGTGCGAGCCTTTCCAATTCTGATACACTGGTTCTACGCCTCGAGTAGAGACAAAGCCAAAACTTATTCGGCCGCTACAGAACAGATAAACAAAAAATAAAGCACCAAAAGATGAGAGTATTTAGCCCATTTTGGGAGCCACATGTAAATAGCGCAAGCACATAAAATTCTATCAGAAACTTGCTACCTTTTGAGTAGAAATAAAGTACTATGAACATTTACCAATTACCATCTCCATCTCATCTCTCCGAAATCCGTGGGAGAAAAAAAAGTTGAAACCCCACCTAAATTAGCACATTCTACACACAATTCAAAAATAGATTATTTTATTATTCGGCACATCAACAATCATCGGCCGGATGGTGTAGTTGGTTATCACGTGTCCTTAACACTTCAAACCTGTTAAATGCGGACAAGGTCCTGGGATCGTGCCCCAGTCTGGTCAAGGGATACTTTTGCCTTTTCATTCTCTGTTCCTCATTGCCTCCTCCTCCCTGTGTGGTTGGTTGGCTGTTGGAACGGAAAGATCTCTTTTTGTTTTTATGCAGGCGCGAATTGCAAAGAAAGTCGGGCGGACGAGCGGAGTGGGCTCCCCTCCATTCATGGCCGTTAAAAGTGGCACACCCTACCTACCAATCCATCACTCACTTGTCGTCATTATTACTCCCGTAGAGTATTATCATCTTAATAAATACGACCAATGAATATACATATTAATTAGGAATAAGAATGCACCGAAAAACTTCGAACATCTCTGGACAGGTTCCAGTCCTTTGATTTTTATTTAAATATCGACTGAATATTAAAAACAGGGCACGTCACACACATATCTAGCCAGGTATTTTGACAACCCGTTCAATTGGTGTTCATATGGAAGGGGGGTGATAAAAATTTATATAAACATTTATGCAGTCAACTCCAATCATCTTCAATGTCGAAATAAACACAAGTGATATCCAGTGCAATGGTGAATAATGAATATTTGCGAGGACTATCTTCAAACATTACCTTGTAGTGGGCATGGTTCACGATCACCAGTCAAACAGACATGGAAACAGTAAGGGAAATCCATCAACTTTGGATAACGAATGAATGTGGTTGTATACTAGATATGGTTCCTTCTTTCGATTTCCAAGAAAATAGGTACGATGCTTGAGAACCTATCAGATCAATTGGAATATCAATAGCTTGATTGAATTCAGCAATAACCATTGGTCTGCAACCATTCAAGAATAACCTTCCTGTCTCTTGATTTGAGAGCTGCTCTTCCTTTGATAGTATCACCAATAATTGCTAGTGATCGATCATATCCTCTGTTGTCTTTATTCTCAAAGAATTTCTCAATCTCCTTGTTGACACTATCATCACTAAAGGCTGATAGAGAAAGTCTAATGAATCGATCGAAGACGACCATGTTAGCAGATCTGCCAAAAGTGTTAGTGATATTGTTAAACACAGAAGCTGTTCGGTGTGCCATTGAGTACTCACAATCTTTCTTTGACTGGATCAAAGTTATCTTGAATGTATTGCCAAAGCTGGTAACGTGTTTTGGTATTGGCTGCAAGAGCAGATGCACCTGTGTGAACATCTTGCGTTGCGACCTCCTTGAAAAGGAATTCAAAGTAATCGGAAATGAGTTCTGGGGTTTGAACACGTCCCATTGCACGAAGAACAATTTCTTTGCCGTCAACGGAAGTTGTTTCGCGGTACTCTTTCTTCAAAGCCTCATATTCTGATCTGTCGCCATATCGAACAGAAAGACCATAAATGGCGCTTCTAAGACTTGGATGAATGACAGTCTTGTCCCTCCCGCTTGTGTATAGATCGAAGCGACGTTTAGCTTCGGCGATAATTCTGTATTTTTTCAGTCATGAAATACTCTGGCAATATATCCTTCTGAACTTACTCTTTGTGCCCATTAAGACCAGCACTCAAGATTAATTGAGGTCTAAGTTGCGACTTAAGGAAATCTTCATCTACCGGCTGTTCCCAACCTATCTTTTCCACTGCCGGGGACACTAATTTCAGTAAGAATGCTTTCAAGCCAGTGGAGACTGCATCATCGTCGGAAAACACCGATTTGATAGTACCAATTGGTCCTAGGATCTTTGACCAAACAAAGTGATTCGATTCATTAGCTAAGCCTTGCACTAAAGACAGGAATGCTGGAGTTCCTGCTTGTCCTGAAATTGCGAGTGCACCCGCATCGGCGATAAGACCTAGGATAAAATTAGTTATCAGAATGAGACGACAAAGCATACTGGACTATATAGCCCAGACTACAATCCGAATTCGAAGGCCTTAAACCTCCGAATGTAGTTTTGATCATACGAACAGTATGAATCTTGAGCGAGACCCATGTGCCAATTAATCGAATAACCGAGCGTATTGATAGATCAATTAGACGAAATGATATCCCACTGTTGGAATGAACTGCAGTCTGGACTATAAGGCAATGAGAATTTGATCTAGACTCACCAATTTTGTCAGTCAAGCTGAGGCGATCCAACTGTGAGCCCAACTTGGCAAGTCTTGATGGTGGATAATTGACTCGATAAAAGCCTGCAGTATCGGTATTAATCTTGTAGAAAGAATCGTCGACATCTCGGACTACATCTTCTTTTTGTTCAAATGCAATTTGCTGTGCTCGCTTGGCTCCCACCTTTCCTTGGAAATCTAAAGGCACCCACCAAGTCGTCTCATCATCTTCGGGTTTTACATCTCCAGTCGAAAGGTAACGACTTTGCTCGATGCTAATTTGACCGGGCTCTTCTTTGACCGTGAGAACAGGATGACCAATCTTGGTGATCCATGGATCAATGATAGCCTTCACATTTAGACCAGAGGCTTCACTCAAAGCTGACCACAAATTTTGTGTTGTAGCATTACCATAAGCATGTGCCTTTAAATAATCAGAAACACCCTTCAAGAAAGTCTTCTGGCCAAGATGCGTGGCTAGCATTCGAATTACAGAGCTACCTTTGAGGTAGCTGATGTGGTCGAAAATTTGGTCGACATCCAGAGCATCTTTGACAGGTACTTCAATAGGATGCGAGCTGCGTAGGGAATCCAATTGAAATGCAGTTTGCATTCCCTCAGCCACAAATTGATCCCATACACACCAATCAGGATGGAAGTGATCTGTTGCCAACCACCCGACCCAGGTAGCGAAACCTTCGTTAAGCCACAGCTCACTCCACCAGTCCATAGTGACTAGATTACCAAACCATTGATGAGCAAGTTCGTGCGCTACGACATAGGCAATTCTATTTTTATATTTTGTATCAGAAGTCTTCTCGTCAAACAAGACAGCTGTTGTGCGATAGGTAACCTGTTTCAGTGAGTAAATACTTCAATCACGTACAAGGATGTTAAAACTAACCAGACCCCAATTCTCCATACTACCCGATGATTTAAAAAGTTAGCTAGCGCACTCAAAGAACAATTGGAGTGGGAAAACTAAGGGGGCTGTCATACGCTCCATGGGACTAGAATAAATGGTTAGTGAAAGGGTCGATGGTAACTGGACCTAGAGGCCGTTGAAGAGGGAAGACATTTAAGACTCACAAATTCATGTACCGCGAGCAAATCGGCTTTAGGAAGTGGATAATCAATATCAAAGATTTCAGAAAACAAATCGATGACTTTGGGTGCATGGTCGAGAGCATATTGTGCTTGACTCTTTAATCCTCGGGTAGTATAGACACGGACAGGCAGTGGCTTTCCGTTATACTTACGCTTTGTGAAGTCCTCGATGTACTCGAAATCTCCCATGGCCCAGGCTAGGAGATAGGTACTCATAATTGGCGTTCTTTCGAATTCAATGAAGTGAAATCCGACCTTAGAATCTCTTGAGCCTTTCTCAGGCATATTGCTCAAAGCAATTTGGTCCTTGGGAATTTCGATCTCGAAGTCAAATGTGGCCTTCAAGTTAGGCTCATCAAAACATGGGAAAGCCCTACGCGCATCAGATGACTCAAATTGAGTGCTATACATGCAATGGAACTCGTCAACCTTAGGAACAGATGCGGCTGGGGTGACTTGAGGTTTGTATTTTGAATAATAAAAGCCAGCCATGTCATTGTTGACAGTTCCTTGAAACTTGATTGCTAGTGTGGCATTTTCAGAAACAGAAAGCTCGTCCGGGAAACTCAAAGTTACTCGTTGTTTCTTGGTATCATAAGATATCTCACTAGACTTAATAGACTGAGAAGTCTTCCCGGAAGTGAAAGACACTTCTGCTTCATGTAACTTGAGCTGAAAGGCATTCAAAGTGATTTCCTTGGTTGGCTTGACAATTTTGGTATCGATTTTGACTGTTCCTTGATAGCTAAAAGCTCCTCCTAACTCGATATCGTAAATAGAGAGCGCATAATGAGAGGGCTTGACCGAATCTGGAAGCACATCTCGGTCAGATGCTGAAGACGCCATGATGCGAATGGTTCAAAGACTGTGGTGAGATCTAGTACTAGATATCAAGAAACGGTCAAACCAGTTGACGTGGAATCGGGAATTCGTAGTTTGGGAATGTTCTTGAATGGATGGGTGGACTTTAATTGGAGTTCTAGTATTTAGTATTTAAAGAAGAAAGAATTGGAAAGAAGGCCGAAGGAAAGCGTGGATGAAAGCGTGGATGAAAACACGGAGTACAAGTACGGAGTAAATCAGAAGTAACTATGGAGATTTAGTCCGTTTGTCATAGGTGCTAAGGTTGGCAGGTACGGGAGGGGACGATACCGCCCACTTGCCTAATTGGGTAGCTTATCGCTTATCCGATGAAAGCTTGGCGAAAGCTCGAAGTCCCAACCAATGAGCGGCGACACATGACAAGGCTGTAGAAACTCCAACATCACATCACGACAACGCGAGTAAAGCATCAGAGTAACCCATGGATTCCTGTGTACACAACCAAACTTAGCAACATCATCTTTTCGCAAGCATTCTTCTTAACACGAATAACACTTGCCATCACAGGAATCATGGCTACAGGACAGAAACTTTATCCTCGAGCCAATCTTAAGAAGATTGTTAAAGCTCATTCCAAGCGTAATCTCACCAAAAATGTTGATGTATTGGTATGTTTTGCGACGCGCTCCGGGCTAAAGGACATTCACTGATACGTATATCACAGATCTTCCTCGATTATATGCTATTCCTCGAAACGTATGTCACTATAACCTCCATTTCGCCGAGTCAATTATGCAGGAATATTGTCTAATTGATTTAGGTTAATGAAGGAAGCTGGTATCAATGCGAAGCAGGCTGGAGAGCGTGGCATTAGTGCCAAAAGTATTAAAAAGGTTACCGAGGTATGTCTAACTTTCTTGGTACTTATACTCGTAGTAACCATATCAAATTAGTTATCGCTATCGAAATTTAAGGGATGATGTTCGAGCTTCGATGAGTGGTTGTGTAAATGATACAGTGAATACGCTCTCCAAGAAGGTACGGACCTCAAGGGCGCTCGAATTCGAAGGGGAAATACGGGATGTACCTAGGTACCTAATGTAGATGCTACGCACAATGGACCGGACGGCAGATAGCGATGTGAAGAGTGCCTAGGTACCATACCGTTGGTGGTCGACAAGTATAAGGAAGAAGAAGAATGTATTGGGCTGATGCGTGAGGCTGTGAATTCACGGAGCTCAGGGGACAAGGCGAAGATGACCAGATGCTAGCAATTCTTTTTAACCATACATCAATCACTTGGAGGTTGATTTGGTTAAACTACAATTAAATAAGAATCAAACAATACCTAAATACAGCTCAAGTTCATTTCCAGACTTCAATGCTTTACAAAATTTATTAGATGTGTTGACTCTCTTCTCCTTCTTCTTCTTCTGTTTGGGTCAAAATTTATTTCCACTTCCTTCTTCCACGTTCGCTAAGGCTGACAAGGTTCCGATCCAAACATCTCTCTTCCCATCATCTTGGAGCTCACTCACTTTTGACAATTGATACCAACACTTCCTAAAAAAATCCTATCTTACAAAACTTCGTTCTTAAACCTGAGAATATTGTCTTCCTCCTCCTCTTGTATTAAATACTTCGTTTTATTCATAGACGACGCATTTCAATCATTCATTCACTCACAAGCAAGCTATCCTTCTCGAGACTTCTGTATCACGAAATCAAATATCACGATCACACAACAAAATAAGTTCGCAATGGCAGCTTCCGTAGTTCAAAATCCAGCTTCTAAGCCGGAATCTAAGTCTGCAAAGAAGAAGAAGGCCAAGACCGAAGCTGTCGACGTGCAAAAGCCAGTCGCACAAGCAGATGTCGCTGTTACAGAAAAGGCATCTTCCACCAATGCTGAAGAGAACAGCAATGGAGATGGAGCATACGAGAGTCCATATATCAAGGAGCTCTACAAGTAAGCTGTTTTCCTAAATCCATTGAACATTGTCATTCTTGTCAATCTTTTGGTGGGGCATTGACACAGCTAACAACTGATTTTAGGAGCATCCGTAATGTCAACAAGAAGATCGTAAGTCAACACGATCTGCATTTGATCGCTCATAGACAAATTGCTAATTGTATTTTTGGATAGACCAACGCTTCAAAAGTTGATAATGTCCTCGCCGAAAACCCAGGCAAGAGCTTGGACGAATTGGTAGCTACTCGCAAGATCAATGCTGACCAAAAGGCACAAATTTTGAAAAAGCCATCTCTCCAAGCATCTTTAACCCAGCTTGAGGAGCAAATCGCACAGTATAAGAAATTCGACCAAGAATACAAGACAAAGCTTCAATTGGAGAAGGCTGAATTCGAAAAGACTTTCAATGAGCGTGCCAGCAAAGAGCTCGAGGAGAAAGTCAAGGCTGCTAAGGACTCTGTTGCTAAGGAGAAGGCTGAGGAACAAGAGAGTAACTTGTTGCTTATCACCAAGTTTCTCTGTCTCGCCGCCTTGCGCCGAAGCCCAGAGAATGATCCAGAGCTCGATGAGAACAAGGGAATTGAGGGGCTTCTCACTCAAGTTTACAGCGGAGATGAAGCTGCTGTAGCTGCCATGACAAAGATCATCCAAGGATCTAAAGAAGTCTGTTTATCCGTCAACGGCGAAGAACTGACCACAACCTGTAAGTTGACCTGTAGTTGTAATTATTACAATCCACTAATTAGTATGTTAGTTGCCGACATCAAGGCCATTGCACTTGCGCTGCCAACCACATCTGTCGCCGAACCCACCGAGGCTGCAGATGAAGAGACAGCTCAAACCGAAGTCGCCGAATATCCCGTTCAAAGCGACCCAACTATCGCCAACGCCGGTTTGACTGAAATCGATGACCCTGTCACAAGTGCATTGAGCAATGGTCACCAAGCACAAAGCTTCGAGGAAGCTCAAGGAATTCCCCAAAATTCGGCTTTTGGTGAAGGAGGAAACGCTGCAGCTGAGGCAAATTGGGATAACAACAACGATTTGTCTACATCGCAAGAGTGGGTCGAGGTTCCTCGTGAAGCCACTGAGACAGATCTCGGTGTTACTGCTACTCCTGCTGCCCCTTCTAACACTCAAAGCTGGGCTGATGAGCAACCTGAAAGTCCTGGTTCAGTAAGTTAATCCAGATTTATACGATAAATGAGAGTATCTTGCTAATAACTTTTCTTCAGAAGAATGCTACTCCTCCAGTCAGCAACAACGATGGCTTCCATGAAGTCAGCCGCAACCGTGGCCGTGGAGATCATCGAGGTGGTAGAGGTGGCCGAGGTCGTGGTGGCTACAGAGGCGATGGATATCGAGGACGTGGCCGTGGTGCTCCTCGTGGTGCTCCTCGTGCCCCAAGAGGCGAGTCATCATAGATCCACCTTTTGAAAACAGCTCTATGGCCTCACAAACTGTGAAATCCTAGATGCATTAGCTCACGCAACTTGTAATAACCTCATTCTTTCATTCAACTTCTTTCTCGCGGCATGGCATCACACAAAGGCGAAATGGGTAAAGTTTTTCTTGCATTTAATATTTGCAATTGCGAAAACAGCACAATTAAGCATTTGCATGAATCTGTCATGTTCTTGATATTGGCTGGATATGGCATAGGGGTACCATACAATATGGGAGAGCGTCTCGTTTTTTATGGCATTACATACACAACACACATTTTCTGTATTTTGGCCAACTTGATTTTCCTTTTTGCGCGCTTTTATGCAGGCTGCTTGTTCATACCCGGGGCACACATTGAAAAGTTCGGTTGGTTTGGTCTTTGATTCGCTGGTCTTGGTCTTTTAGGACGGTTGGACTGGGCTGGGCTGGATGAACGCAACGGATCGGATTGGATTGGGCTGTGGTCAAATCGAAACGATACAAAATGGAATGATTGATACCTATGATTTGATGATGGTTGCGTATTGGCATATTGAATGAGAAAAAAAGAACCCCGGATACATGATCATGTGTGAGAGTGATTCTAGTGATGAGTGATGTTTGTGGTTTCGTATGCAGTGAGGACTATTTCATCCAGCGTGAAGTGTCGTATTGAATCTCACCCCATTCCAGCAAGAAACTCCTACTGCCAACCCCTTCCCTGTACTCTCACCACGAAGCATTCCGCAATTGAGATTTGCGGTTACCACTTCCTGTATCTTTCCAATCACAAAACCAGCATTGTATTTTTATCTAGATCTTATTGTGCCGAGTTATACGTCGTAGTTGGGCGAATTTCTCACTAGTGGCCAGCAGGTCGTCTTGAGGATTTCGTGGGTGAGGGGATGTGAGGGGAAGCGGTGCCATATATGTAGATGGGATTGATGGAATGCTGGATTGTGTGTTGGACTTGAGTTTGAGTGTGAGATGGAAGTTTATGTTTACGTTTACGTTGGGGGTTTGTAGGATTCAAGATAGGAGGGAGAGGGAGAGGTTGAGAAGTGGATGTTGGAATTTGGAAGAGGAAAATGTATGGTTTTGTATTGGAGGCTGGGTGTTTGATATGTGGTTTTGGTTGGGGGTGTTGCTTTGGATCTGGTTCTTGTTGTAATTGTTGCTGTTGCTTTAGCTCGAAGGTTTCTGGATATTTGAATGATGAGATATGGGATATGGGATATGGTCTAGATGGCGTGAGCGAAGGTTTGTTTCAGTGGTTTGACCTGCGATTTGTGGGAGGAGTGGATGCATTGATGAAATGTTTGAGATCCTGCGAGAAAATCAATGAGCCGAGGTTTTTGCAACATGTTTTTGTATGGTGTAGGGGGTATATTTTTCTGTTATGTCGAGCCATATGGTTATACAGCAATATGTAATTAAATATCTTATATTGATGTGTAGATTCTTGCAGGAGGGAGTCACAAGGGGGTTTCCTCTTGTATCTACACTATCAGGCACAGAGGCTCTAGCAAAATATCTGCAACCCGCGCCTCCAATATCAATGGGATTCATCTTACTAAACACATATCTGGGGTATTACTTCGAGCCTTATGATTTTCCCGTGGATGTGATTGTTGTCGAGTGTACGGCGTAATACTGAGATTGCGCTGCCATTCATCTCATTGCATCAGCATGGTGATTATTATTGGTAGCTCATCAATTATATGAGGTCACACCAAAGCACTAGATGTCGCAGCCTTACCTATCTACATTGTAGCCAGAATGTTTGTGAATGTGAATGTGAAATCAAATCGATCAATGGACGTGAGCTGTTTGCAAGGTGTGGGGCTATAAGATAAGATTAGCCTAGCATCAGTGATAAAAAGGGTGCGAACACTTGAAATTTTCAACACAATCGTCATACTTTGCAACTGCTGGATGTCATGTTGAAGTCGAAGTGTTTCTCAAGTCCAATTTTGTAGAGTCAATTGTGCAGAGTCATGTTCTCCAGCCAGATCAGATATCCAGATTCGATTAATGTTCCAAATCAAGCTGGATTTTCAAGATGACATTGATACCTCGGACGAATATGCCCAGGGCTACATGCCAGCGAGGTTGATATTCAGATTCTTCGACAAAACACCTGTTGGACATGTTCGAAGATCATGACTGGGCTGTGGTGATATGGTTCCAACCAGTGAGACACTATGTCTCCCCAGATTGGCCGGGATGTCATGGGGAAAAGGGGTAAGATTTGCTTGGGTAGGTTAGGTGGAGATGCAAAGGTGTCACCGCTTTTAGCCACTCGGCCCTACGCCTTATGGAAGCTTTAAATTTGACAAAGATGGATTTTGGCTTGATGCAAGTTCGATGACAGAGATTTCACTAGTGCAGGGGTAATTTTCCTATCAGACACTTGTTATCGAGTATCTCAATCGTCTCATGCCTCAACCCACGTCATATCAACTTTTTCATAATTATACACCGTACCTATACCATAGAGGTCAAGTCGAGAGTCATCATGACTTTAAGATCTGGGAGATGTATATGGTACCATTCTCTTATCGCACTTGACTTGATTGACGTGGACGGACTGTACACCCGATGCACAAGTCAAGCTCCGAAAATGTACAGTACAAAGCAATGAGACTAGTAGGTAAAGATAAACTTCTCAGCCCTATGTAATGCGATGATGAAATCCAAATCTGTATGGATAATAAGTTGAGACGATGATGATGATGATGCTCGTCTCACAGGAAGGTGAACTGTGCACTGCATGAGACGATCCTGACCGGGATAAGTCGAGATAAGTTATAACCCATCAATCCATGATAGTGATAGTAAGAAGAAGAAAACAAGTATTGAAGAAATCACAAAGATTAGATAGAATGCAAGAGCCCAAAGGGGGAAAAGGGGGGACAAATTGCAAAACAATACGGAAGAATCTTCAACAGTTGCAATACCCAAGTTGGACCTGCCAAA